ATCTAAAAACACTGTAGATTCGAATGAAGATTAGATTGAAAAGAACTAGAACATAAGATGAAAATGGCATAATACAAATACCCAGATAAAATGTGAAACTGGAATAAGTAAAGATTTACAAGCGACTAACACAATAAGTGTAAATAAGATAGCAACGGCGTCGTAGTAAGTGTTTCGCGTATATTGTCTATGAGCTCCTGTAGTCACTTAACACCTAGTCAGCTGTAAGTTCGTCCAACAATTTAGAGGGGAAAAATAAGGTTAAAGTATCTATTTTATTATACGACAATTTCATTTTTCATACTGGATAGCATAATTAGCTTAGATAGATAGATATAGATAGTTTCGCAGCAGAATTTGTTAGGATGACATGCAGGATCACGCTACTCCTTCCCGATATTAAAATGTCACTGGAACATGTGCTAAAGGAGAACGTCTCCTACAACTATCTTGTACTTCGTATTACACTACTGCTACATGTATTTAATCAAAATATAATATATTTTCGAATTAATTTCTTTAATTTATGCTTCAGAAAAATTTTGCGCATCGTTCGTATTCCTATTCTGTCCATATTCGCTTGAACTTTAAAATTTAACAGTTATGCGAAATCATCGAGTATTCTCGAATGGCGAGAGAAGGGGAAAGGCTCTTGATTAAATGGGCAAACTAAACAGTAAAACAACATTACGTTTTCCGTTACAACAGTTGACATTGAACTTTATTGCTAAAAGATACAGTTAAATAACCTGTTTTGGATCAAGTAATGGCAAGCGATGAAAACGCCACAGCTGTTGCTAGGTGTTTTTGTTCTCAACTTTTTTTTAATAGATGTTAATTTGAAGTGTTTGAAATAGATTATCAAAATGTTATTAACCCGAGAGTTTAATATTCTAAATTTTTGCCTATTAAGCGTCGCAGCACCCAAGAGAAATTCGAGGTATTCCTTGAGCAATTCTTATTTTTTAACAATTTTTGTTTTCAGTTGAATGAATTCGGAACATTTTTTCCAGTGACCACGTTCTTTTCTCGTTTTGTAATATATTAAAAATTTTAATTGACGACGTTTATAAATAGTCTGCGTTTTATATTGATTAGGCTTTTAGGTCCATGCTTAAATTAGAGATTTCTACTGTAAGTAATAGTTTCTGTATTGAACGAGAACTGTTTTAATTTTGTCCCCATCGCCCCATTTTATTAGATAATATTGGAATCCTATAAACTGATATGAACTTTTAAGCTTTACCTACATATTCGCTCCGCTTTTTCTTTTCATTTTATTATTCATGAAATTTATGAATTTCATTTGAAAAATTTTACATGGCAACACGTCTTTAAGCCTTTCATAACAGCTTACACGTGCCGCCGGCCATGTTCCCCTCCCCATCTCTTCCTAAAACAATATTATTTAATTTTCCTTTAACTTGTTTACAGTGTTACCACAAAGAGATACAATACACAATGTATGCTTAAAATACGAAAGTATATACTGTATTTGATTAAAAATAATATTCGGCTTCGTTAATCCGATGTAATCTGGTAGTAGGACCTCTTGTGAGTCCGCGCGGGTAGGTACCACCACCCTGCCTATTTCTGCCGTCAAGCAGTAATGCGTTTCGGTCTGAAGGTTAGGGCAGCCGTTGTAACTATACTGAGATCTTAGAACTTATATCTGATGATCGGTGGCGCATTTACGTTGTAGATGTCTATGGGCTCCTGTAACCACTTAACATCGGGTGGGCTGTGAGCTCGTCCACCCATCTAAATAATAAAAAAAAAGAAAAAAAATCGTTACTTCGATGAAAATGCTCTCATGTATGGTAACAATTGGCGGTCCGTTGTCAAAGCGAAACATTTACTTGTTTGTTGGCTATCTTGGGTAATCAAAAATATGTGTAAATCATAAAGTGCGGCATAGTTTGCACGAGTTAATGGTGTGACCATACGTACGTCCGCAGAACTTATCTTATCGGAATGTTATATTGTATAAGCGATCTATGTTTGACCGTGGATTTGCTGCACTGCGTAATGCTAAAAGCAAACGATACGTATTCAAAAACTATAGGAATTATAATAAATATTATATTGAAATAGTGATCCAAACGGGAACGCGAATCGTGTAAGCATTAATTAATGCTAATTTCCAATTTATAAATGAAACGTCAAGGCTTAGCTTAGGATATTACTCTCGAGATCATAATTGCAAAGTCAAAGTTCAATGAAAATACTTTTTTTTTCATTGCTTGGATGGGTGGACGAGGTCATAGCCCACCTGATGTTAAGTGGTTACTGGAGCTCATAGACATTTATAACGTAAATGCACCACCCACCTTGAGATATATATACAAATACTATCTATTATAAAAAAAAAAATTGACATTGTAGGCAGACGAGACCATACGGCCCACCTGATGGTGAGTGGTCACCATGGACATCAGAGAGCCAGCGTCAGATCTAACCTGCTGTTTACCGTTAAATACTCTTCTCAAGCCTGCAAGTACACCTGCGCTAACGCGTTTGTATCGCTTCTCTTATTGCACTAACAGGGTTCCGTCTTCATGGAAGACCGCCCACGTCCACCCTATCCCCAAGAAGGGTGACCGGTCGGACCCATCGAGCTACAGGCCTATCGCGATAACTTCCTTGCTTTCCAAGGTAATGGAGCGAATAATAAATATACAACTCCTGAAGTATCTTGAAGATCGCCAGCTGATTAGTGACCGACAGTACGGTTTCCGTCATGGTCGCTCAGCTGGTGATCTTCTTGTATACCTTACTCACAGGTGGGCTGAAGCCTTGGAGAGCAAGGGCGAGGCTCTTGCTGTGAGCCTTGATATCGCGAAGGCCTTCGACAGGGTCTGGCATAGGGCACTTCTATCGAAGTTACTATCTTACGGAATCCCCGAGGGTCTCTGCAAGTGAGTCGCTAGCTTTTTGGATGGGCGGAGCATCACGGTCGTTGTAGATTGTGACTGTTCTGATACCATGACCATTAACGCTGACGTTCCACAAGGTTCGGTGCTCTCCCCCATGCTTTTCATCCTGTATATCAATGACATGCTGTCTATTGATGGCATGCATTGCTATGCGGATGACAGCACGGCGGATGCGCGATATATCGGCCATCAGACTCTCTCTCGGAGCGTGGTGCAAGAGAGACGATCAAAACTTGTGTCTGAAGTGGAAAACTCTCTGGGGCGAGTCTCCGAATGGGGTAAAGACGATAAAGACACAAGTTTGCGCGTTCACTGCGATGAAGGACCCCTTTGTCATGGCGCCGCAATTCCAAGGAGTATCCCTGCAACCTTCCGAGGGTATCGGGATACTTGGGGTCGACATTTCGAGCGATGTTCAGTTTCGGAGTCATTTGGAAGGCAAAGCCAAGTTGGCGTCCGAAATGCTGGGAGTCCTCAACAGAGCGAAGCGGTACTTCACGCCTGGACAAAGACTTTTGCTTTATAAAGCACAAGTCCGGCCTCGCATGGAGTACTGCTCCCATCTCTGGGCCGGGGCTCCCAAATACCAGCTTCTTCCATTTGACTCCATACAGAGGAGGGCCGTTCGGATTGTCGATAATCCCATTCTCCCGGATCGTTTGGAACCTCTGGGTCTGCGGAGGGACTTCGGTTCCCTCTGTATTTTATACCGTATGTTCCATGGGGAGTGCTCTGAGGAATTGTTCGAGATGATACCAGCATCTCGTTTTTACCATCGCACCGCCTGCCACCGGAGTAGAGTTCATCCATACTACCTGGAGCCGCTGCGGTCATCCACAGTGCGTTTCCAGAGATCTTTTTGGCCACGTACCATCCGGCTATGGAATGAGCTCCCCTCCACGGTGTTTCCCGAGCACTATGACATGTCCTTCTTCAAACAAGGCTTGTGGAGAGTATTAAGCGGTAGGCAGCGGCTTGGCTCTGCCCCTGGCATTGCTGAAGTCCATGGGCGACGGTAACCACTCACCATCAGGTGGGCCGTATGCCCGTCTGCCTACAAAGGCAATAAAAAAAAAAAAAAAAAAAAACCGCCAGACCTGGAGCTCATTGCCTGGAATGTGGTTCTCGGCGGGCGACCTAACGGGTCCTTCTGCACATACAGCTTCAGCGCAACCACGAATACTCTGACAAGAGAGTCCAACTGAGAAGAAGGTGCATACTCGAGGCTTCAAAACTATTTATGAATGACTTCATCAAAATGAATACTCCCACGTCATGTTAAATTCATAACCAAACGGCAGTTCTGGTTTTAACTCATTATCAAATTATCTATTGCTTTAATTAAGAAAATAACATCTCGTTTTCACTCAAAAGTCGTGCTATAATACACATACATAAGCAGAAACATAATCACTCCTGACTGAGCCTTTGCTCGCCCACCTGCCTGCACCTGGTAAAACTGGAAAGGCTTCCGACCCACCAGTAAATTCTTAAATATAAAAAAAAAGAAACATAATTCACAGTGCCCATTTTCTGCGATACACGAGCGTATCCGACCTTGTTACTAATTCCACAAATAGTGGGGAATTAATCAATGAATGTCAACCGGATATTTATAGATTACCAAAAATTACGAATGCCGACTTGAAAAAATGAAATCAACAACTATTACATAACTACATACATAATATAATTACATGACGTGTTCCTGGGTTTCGCCGGTGTTATATCTTAATTTTAGTCATTATTCACGGCATAAACAAAACATAAGTAACTCTTCAGACTACAAATAATCTTAGAGCACCAAATTAGACAATATGAAAACTTTGAATATTTTAAAATTAATATTGATTGTGTCGTTTTAAATTCAAAAATTAAGCTGAGTTTAAAGTTAAAGGTCATCCACCAATCTGATTGTAATACCCTGATGTATTGCATTTTACTGACGAACAAGGTAAAACAGATCTGTAATGATGTTAAATACAAATTTTCGTTGCATATAAAAAGGTTGACTTTCAACAAAACTGTCATTCGATTTCAACTTTCCGAAAGAAATTGTGCCAAATGGATTGCAAGGTATCTGATTTTTAACTATATTAAATAGTATATTAATATTAAGTATTACACACATTAAGTAGAATACCCATTAAATAGTACATTCATTATTTATGTCCAAAGTTTTGGTAGCCATGAGCCATGTATTTAATTCTTTCGAGTCTGTACCGTCCTGCCTATTATGCCGCAAAGCTGTTATGCAACTCGATTAAAAGAGAATGGTGGAACTCCTATTATGATTCAATTGAGATTCTGACGTCACGGTTTGGGATGGGCGGCACCGTTCTTTGTGATTTATATAGCTTTTAATAATAGCTTTAAATCAGGCAGATTGTGTACTCTGTGTAGATTAAATTTTCACATTCTACAAGGAAATTTTGACAGGGTATTCTATCACCATATATACGAAATCTCCACTAGAATAAATCTCAACATTTTGAGTGCTGTTTTATATTGTGCATGACATTCATACTAAGCCCTTTGACTTCTTTCAGATAATCACTATTCTATGCTACTTAGCTGTAGCTAGAGCAAGTATCATCGATACTGACTATCCACCTGCAGCATCAGTGTCATATTCTTCAATATCTACGCCAATCAATGGCAAAACTATTATCAACCCAAGCACTGAAGTCAGAAGACGTATAAATTTTTACAAAACAGTCGAACCGGCTCCTGTACACGAAACCTTTTCCGACCACAATAATGCTGGAAATGCTTACTTTTCATCGCTCCACAAACAAAACCTTGATTATTACAACCATCAAAACTACGATACTCCAGTATATTTGAACACATATCAACACGAACCGATCGGATTTAATCCACACGAAAATATCAACGTTCACGGACCCTTGGTACACTCTGTCTCCACACTAGCTGCACACAAGTCTATTCCTGTGACCTTCGCAACCCATTCTATTCCCTATTCCAAAACTTCTTACTTATCGGACACTCGATCGGCCCTAACTGAACCATCACTTTTTGCTCAAAGTGGCCAATCTTCTGGATTATCAGCATATTCCTCTTATACTCCTTTGTCGTATTTGCCATCAAAATCAAGTGCCGTATATCCTAAGATTTCTGGTGTTAAATCTTACGATATTTATTCACCTCCGATAAACACACCAAGTTACGAATCTCACCCAGGTACATCTCTTAAAAATACATTAACGTATTCGGAAGCTCCATTGGTGTCTCATTTGTCTTTTAATGCACATGGAGCTTCTTATAGTTGGTAATTATTATATTTTTAAATGAAATGTGCGACTGAACTAACTTGCAAAGTTAATTATAAGGTTTATTTATTTAAATAAAATTACTTCCCACAAAACTGTTATTTTATTTGTAGACTGGAGTAGTTTTATTGGAGAAAATGCTTTGGACGTTATATCCACAAATCGGTTGTTTCCTATAATTTTGTTTGACAACAAAAATCTACAATGGTTTAAAAAAATCTACCATTAAGACTTTAATTTACAACTTATATTATTCTAATTCAAGTCTAGATTAATTTAACAATAATATTCCGACCTATTTTGGCTAAATAGCTGAAACCTTTGCTAGCTATCACAATTATGTTTTTCCAAGTAAAGAGAAATCTGTTCATAATATTTCAACCGGAGTTCTTATTGATATTAGAAAATAATGTTTTCTTATACGAGTATACGATACATATGTATTTATATGCATACATACAAGAAACAACAAATTTCAAAATTAAAGACAAAGTCAAATATTTTTAGTATTTAATTTGAATACTAAAATTGTCATAGGTTATAAGGATAATATCATTTTATGTTAGTAATTTATAAAATAATTAACTATAATGCAGTCTAGAAGTTGAGGTCACAAAAAACTTGATGAAATATTAAATTTAACTAATTTTATTTTCAATATCAATTTTAACCAATAGAAGAAATATTTCAACAGATTTAGCGATTTGGCTAAAATCTGCAGGAAATCGGTCTGAGTAAAAAAGTCGCAAGCAAATGTTTTTACTAAAAATGAAAATTGGTACATTTTACAACGGAAAAAATTGCTCTTTCTCAAAAATCGCAACCGTTTATCCTCAAAGTTCAACAAACAGAAGTGGCAACATATAGAGCAACATAATTAATAGAGTTGTGCTTAACGCTTACACGCTTGAACTAGCTCAGATCGTAGTGACCGGTGTGCACGATTGACCTGTCCACGTGTGTCGCAAAACATGTTCCGTAAGGATCAGTGCACAATAGACAACGTTTAAAATATGGATGTATTATAAGCACAACATCTCAGACGCAACAGCAAATTCAATTTTTTTTTGTTAAAACGACTTCTTCTGTTGTTGTGTCTATTTAAGAATAGCGCAACCCCGTAACTTCTCTTGACTGTCTTTCAAAGAACACATAAGGATTCATCAACAGTCTGTATTTCTGTAACCGATTTACGTTGTAATCGTAAACCTGCATGGTACCATCGTGGCTATATCTATTGCGGAACAGTGCTATATTCTTGTTTGAAAAACGGAACAGTACTTATAATACACAATAGACTTCGATCGCATGTTTCAAGGAGGTTGGCGGAACAAACTTCGTGATGTCTACGGATTCTCAAAAATAATAATTTAAAAAAAAAAATTGCCATAAAAGTCAGACTGCTGAAATCGATTTTTAAAATATGAATAAATGGAAGAACGAATACCTAGTGAGAAATACTTGGTATGACTCTCGTATGCCCGCAGCATATACATCCAATACAATATTTATGGGTGTCCCCAGTTGAAAAGATCAACATAATGTGTGCATAATACTAAACACTTAGCACTTACTTATCACTAAGCACACTAGAATTCAATCATACCACTAGAATATTCATCAAAACATTTAAAATAAACTTTTTGAATGTATTAATTTATTTAATAATATTTAATAATAATATATTATAAATTAATTTCCAACACAATTCTAAACTGAACCTAAGAAACAACCGCCTCAGTTGCCCTTAGCAAGCCACATGAATCTTACGCAACTGAGCCGAGCCTAGCCGGCGGACAATATGTGTCAGACATTGTTATCATTCTAATAAAGTTACTTCTAGTTTTAATTGTTCTCAAAATTGTTTGGTTACAAGATACAATAAGATTAAATACAGTATGTCTATAGACATTAAGAATGTTTCTTATTCTGGTATATTGAAAGATTTTTTTTTTTTGTGATATGATTATTTATTTTACTTTTATCGTGTCGTGGTCTGCCCTTTCAATTCTTCGTAGCTTATGCAACTCTCTGGAACGCGTCGGATAATTTGAGCAATGGATAATGAAGAAGACCTAAAGTGCCTCAATGTTCTAGCGACCATGTTGACTATGCACCACAAATTTTCTGTTAGCACTTATTGATCTTGTTTTGTTTGACGTCAGGGGTAGTGCGTGAATATGTTTTCCTACCGTGCTAGGAAAACAGCACTGAAAACTACAATACAGTTTTGGATATTGAAAACCATAAGATAACCATAAGATCGGTGGGCAGCGGCTTGGCTCTGGCCCTGGCATTGCTGACCTCCATGATCGACGGTAACTACTCACCATCAGGCCGTATGCTCGTCTGCCTATTAGGGCAATAAAAAAAATTTATTGGTCTTTAAGGGATCTGCTTTTCATCATGGTTAGACAAGATAATTCTATATTATTCCGTTCACCACGTTCGTACTACATACTAAAAATCTCGTTGAAGAATCTTTATATTAATACGTGAAGCAAAAATTTTGTAACCCTTTTTTCGAAAATTGCGCGGACTGAGAAGTATGAAATTTGCAACATTTATAGAGAATACAGAAAAGGAGTGCAGAATGCTATTCTTGTTTTAAATTATATATTAATTATACATTAAATCAATTTAAAAAAAACATTACACACACTACCTTGTATTTGACACATACATATATTTTATATATATACTTTTTGTTTATTGTCAAACTTTTGTTATTTGCTTAAAGTCTGTATTTTCATTGAGAATAGGTTATGTAATATTGTTTATCTTTATATTTATTTGTTTATAGTGTAGTCACAATCTGTGATTATAGAGGTATATTATTAGTCTTTGACAATAGAATCTTAATGACGTTCAAACTGATAATTTCAATTAATTATAGTTGAATTTCGACTACTGCGGAACCACTAGTAATTTCAAAAACTTAAACAGTAAGATCATGGTAAGATCATTGTCCACGTCGTATTGCGTCACTCGTTATCAAACCAGCTAGAGAGTAGATACGTTCTTGGCAGGTCAATAGCGACATGCTGTCTGCCAATACAATGTTACGTGCAATTAAGATACATTTTGCTAGAACGAATCCGTAGCGTATTCCATGCAAGAGCGTATAGGTTTGCAACCGACTTACAAAATAAGGGGTTCTCAATTAGATTATAATTTTGTGTTTATTATCTCACTCCGTCATTTATAAACCGATTTTGATTATTTTATTTGAAAGCAAAAATTTTCAAATTAATCTTATAGAAATTTTAACAAAATAAACTAAGCCGTCCGTAGTATGGTTTTTAAATCAAAATGACTGGGAAAATTTACAGAAGTCAGTTTTAATATTTTTTATACCTGAAATTGGACATATTTTGTGAATAATTTGTTCTATTATCGGCTTCAATTACCAGTACATTTGAAGGGACGGTTAAAAATAATATACATAAAAGTTGAATACGGAATGACTAACAACACGTAGCTTACATTGCTGAATCTAGAAGCGTGAAATATTGAAATATTGTAATATTTCACGCTTCTAGAACGTCTTGATAATATAACGTGGGTGAGCACTAATGATTGATTTTTTACAAAGATTAAGATTTAATAAGAATAAGGTATATTTTAAGTTATTCTTGTTAAAAATATATTAAACGCTTTCAAAAAAATATGATTAAACCAAAGTAACTTAATTAAAATATAAAGCCTTTAGATATTGTTCAGGGTTGTTACTGATTTCCGGATTACCGTAGTCGAAATTCATTTTTATAAGAATCAAAGTAATTCAAATTTAATTGCATTAATCCGTTAAGGTACCATACTCAACATTTTTGCACTGTTAATTTTACTAGCCTTGGCCGATATGATCGGAATTGCATAACGAGTGTCACCCTAAGATTTAGATTCTTTTTATGTATTTTATTTTCTAATTTCTCTGTCTCTGTTCTCGCTTGACTGAGTTTTTTTTTTATTGAAGCTTACGAACTAATTGACTTTATTTTATTTTCTTTTATTGTTATTAACAAAATTCGTCAATAGCAACAAAACAAAAAAAGAGAAAATCATTGACAATTGAAGAAGAAAAAGGCCCTAAAACGAATTCGCCTACTTAAATGTAGATTTATATTACTAAGACATTGTTAAGGCATTCACTAGTTTATATAAATAAAAAATGAATTTCGGTCCTGTGGTCCCTACACTATCGCCCAATACAATATAAAATTACATTCATTGATTAAAACGACTAGAGGTTCACTCAGTGTACGCAGATGTGAACCTTTTTGAAATTTCACTGATAACAGTTTAAAACAAAAAAACAATACGTATATTATAATAATATGGACACGGCTCATTTAATTGTAAGAAGTGACCGTTGTTCGTGGACCGGCCGAATTTTTTTTTGTTGCTCATATTGTTGGACGACCTTACAGCCCACCCGATGTTAAGTGGTTACTGGAGCCCATAGACATCTACGACATAAATGCGCCACCCACCTTGAGATATAAGTTCCAAGGTCTCAGTATAGTTACAACGGCTGCCCCACCCTTCAAACCGAAACGCATCACTTGCTTCACGGGCGAAATAGGCAGGGCGGTGGTACCTACCCGTGCGGGCTCACAAGAGGTCCTATCACCAGGAAAAATTTTCAGAGAATAGGAATAAACTCGGCTCCGGTAGCGACTAGTCCAATAAGATGACGGTATATCATTCTCCAACTAACTAACTAAAAAATGTTAATGTTTTTATTTACTGATATTTAATTAATCAATTAATGAATTGTAATGTACGTTCACGGTAAACTTCCGTTTTTATATCGTATGTATTTTAATTACACTTCCGTAAATATATTACGTGTTTACCCTCAAATCTTAGTTTCCTATTGACTAATAATAACAATTCCTTTATTTGGTACCAAAAATTTGGAGATCTTAGGTAGATCTCCTTGTGGTAGCGAAATTTTATTTTTCAACTAACATTGACCATACGTTTTTAAAGATATTTTC